AGGAGCACAAACCCACAACCACAACCAGATTTCTTTGTGGTTGGAGACGCATCTCCAGACTTGAGTATCAGAAACTATCCCCGTCTACAGACCCCTAAATAATAATGGGGAGATGAAAAGATTAAAAAGCTTAAAACAGTGGCCTGGCATGTTGCAGTGATTCCTTCCTTTTGAAAGAATCTTTTCAAGTTCATTCCTGGTTTATTTTACCTGGGCTTCTCCATTCAAGGAAAATTCTAAACAAGCTAGTGAGAGGGCATAAATTATTTCCAACGATTCTATTTCTTGTAATTATCACTGGGGGGTGGGTGGGGGTGGGGGTGGGGAATGACTTCCCAAGAGGAAATAAGAAATACCTCTCCACAGAGACTTTCACCTGCTGGTCTGTAAACAGCAGAGCCCTTGTTTCCTCAGGAGCTCTGATACTGAGCCTTTCTTGAAAATACTCTGTAAATGTTTACTGACCGAATTAGAAATCCAAATTACTTTATACAAATCATATAATCTGCTCCCCTGGGGATTAAACAAGCTCAGAGTTCTCTCTAGTGCATTAGAAATAATTGGTTATTAAACTAGTCTTCTCTAAATTTCTCTAAGCCAATCTAAATTAATACATGAAGTTCATTTAAATTGTTAATATAAAAGGGAGTGGTATAATCAGATGTAATTGTTCCAACTGATTATAGTTTAAGATTGCCTAACAGATTTACAGATAACAACACTCAAATATAAGCAAGTTTTAATCTTCACATTTAGGTTATATATACTGCACTTTTATCGCACTTTCTCCAAAGTAAATATGTGCTGCATTGCACAATTCGCTTAAGTCTATCAGACTTTCAGATGTTTTTGCAAGAGACACAGTAAAACCCTGGAAGTTGGAAGAACTGTGCAGAAAAAAACACTTGCATCCTAGGTTCGGTAAACATCTGTTTCATACTAAACAGGATAAACAATGCAAGGCTCTTGTTTTATCCCTGAGTTCAGCAGCAGAGTATCAAACAATTGCTGCTTTATTTCCCTCAGCAGGAAATGAAAGAAAAGTGACACACTGAAGATTTAAGGTCCTTCCTCATATCCTGGTGGGAGGCCCCGCTCCCACCCTTTGGACAGGTGGAAAGTTGAAAATTGTTGTAGTTCTTTTACCAGACCTGGAAAAGATGCTCAGCAAACTTGCTTCTCTCACATGAAGGCCGCTGAATCTAGCAACAGTAATGCTGACCTTGTGAAATATCTTCCATCAGGTCAACAGTCATAAAAAAGCGGGGTGGGGGGCGATATTGGCTGCTGGAGAAGGCTGTCTTCTCTGATAGATGAGAAAGAAATGCTCATACAGCTTCATGGTTGGATGAGAGGAAGCAGGCCTGTAGCAGGCCCAGTAAAGCAGAGGTGGTATTCAGTAGGTTCTGACCAGTTCTGGAGAACCAGTAACGGAAATTTTTAGTAGTTCAGAGAACCGGCAAATCCCACCTCTGACTGAAGATTTTACAGTATCCTTCCCTGCCATGCCCACCAAGCCACGCCCACAGAACTGGTAGTAAAAAAATTTGAATCCCACCACTGCAGTAAAGCCATGCAATTGCTCGACCTCCATTATATTCTTGGGACGTTTCTTTGCAGAAAGGAAGGCTTGTTCCATTCAGATGGAAAGCACTAGTTCTAAGTTGCTGATAAAGCAGTATAACAATTCTATATTTTGAAACATTTGGAACTAGGGCACTAAATACCTGAGAACAGGGAAGCTGATAACATACAAGTTTCATAGGGAGACGCATCTTTTCTATTGACTGACGGAACTGAATTTAGTGGTCAGCACATTGTAACTATGATGATCCAGCCCCTGCAGTGAAAGATGAAACAGGAAGATCACATCAGGGAACAGAATAAACAGAAATGGAAGGGACCTTGTAGATCATCTAGTCCAATCCTCTGCTCAGGCAGGAAACCCAATACCATTTCTGACAGATGGCAGTCCAATCTCTTCTTTAAAACCTCCAGTGACGAAGCTCCCACAACTTCTGAAGGCAAAGCTGTTCCACTGGTTGATTGTTCTCACTGTCGGGAAATTTCTTATTTCTAGGTTGAATCTCTCCTTTATGAGGGGACTGAGTCAACACTAACTTGTTAGCACATAAACAGTCAACCCTGAGTGGACCTGAAAAGTATTAAGCCCAGCAGCACTTTTATATTCTCTTCCATGCAAATTGGGATGTTTGCAGAAAGGAAAGCTTGTTCCATTCAGTTGGAAAACACTAGTTCCCTAACAGATTGGTCTGATCCAGCTTCAGTCTTCTTATAACAGAAGAATGGTCCAATGTGAGAGAACATATCCTCAATAACAGGTAAGCTGACCACTTTGGAACACTTTGGAGTCCTTACTTTATGCAAACACTTTGGGGAGTGCCAGTATATTTTATCAGATACACAGAATAGACAACTGAGAACTAAACTATCATTGGGAGGGGTGGAGAAGAGCAAGATCTGCCCTTAAAGACCACTGAGGAAACTTCAACTAGAAGCAGTATGTAAGTGCTATTGCTAGTAACTGGTGCTAGATATACAGCATATGTAACACCATTTGTGCATGAATTGTCCTGGTTACCAGGGTGTTTCTAGGTGCAATTCAAGGTGCTGGTGGTCACCTACAAAGCCCTACATAATGTGGGATCAGGGTACCTGAGGGATCGCCTTTTTTCGAGAGCTTCTACCCTCCAGCTAGATCCAACAGGCTGAGCATGCTGCAGATTCTGTCAGAAACAATGTCAGCTGAGGGGAACTAGAAGACAAACTTTTGCTACAGCAGCCCCTACTCTGTGGAACATCCTCCCTTCGGAAATTAGAATAGCCCCAAACCTATTAGTCTTCTGTAAAGCTTTAAAGGGCCGGCTATGTTCCCGAGGCTAGGGTGATACAAGGCCTCCTGGCTATAATGTTAACAGGCCTGATGTCTTATTTGTTTGTACTTGAATTAGACATTTTAATGTTTTTATTGTTTTTATGCTTTTTTATTTTTATTGTTTTAAGATGTTTTTAAGATTTTAATTGTAATATATGATTTTGAACTGTGAGCTGGCCAGATTCATTGGCTGAGATGGGCAGCTATAGAAATCAAATAAATACATCTTCAACTAGGATTAAAAAAACATAAGAGCACATGAAGTTTTCCTTCCTTCCAGTATTAATGCCTTCTGGCAGACAGGACATATTCCTTTTAAATTTATTCCTCTAATTCTGTCACAGTTTGTTTGATTTAGAAAAGGGTTTTGTTTTGTTTTTAAGGACAGCTGTAACCTTTCTTTTTCTTTTTTTTAAGGACAGCTGTAACATTTCTCTATGGTTGTACTTGGGAGAGATTTAAAGATAACTCCGTATGACTTTGATCTCTTGAGATCCCTGAGTAATTTAGTCAGCCAGTCCATTGTACCCAGCTGTTTCCCAATTCTTCCCTCTTCCCCTATTATTTGTTATGGACGGAAATGATGGTCATAATGTACTAATTAAACATATTTCTATGCCTCTGCCTTAAATATTTAATAAATATAAATATAAATATAAATATAAA